AACCAGGTAGAGTGAATTAAAGGCTGCTTTGTTATGCAATACCTCTCTCCCCTTCCTTATGGTACATGGAGTATGCTTTTGAGTGTGGATGCAAAATTTAAAGTCGTCTGGTACCCTTATTCATTATAAAATATTATATCAAAATCCATTTCATTAGGACTACATTGAATATAAAAAGTGTACACACCCCTGTTAAAATGCCAGGTTTTTGTGATGTAACAAAATGAGACCACGATAAATCATTTCAAAATGTTGACTGACCTGTAAGCTGTACAATTGAAATCTGTTAGGGGGGAAATTAAAAAAATAAAATAAATATAGAATAGAATATGCCGGTAGCGTAAGTGTGCACACCCATAAACTAATACTTTGTTGAAGCACCTTTTGATTTAGTTTCACAATTCAGTCTTTTTGGGGACACACCCGCCATTAATTAAAGTGATTCTGATTAACCCCAAATAAAGCTTTAGCGGTCCTAGGAGGATTTTCCTGACATTCACTCAGTTGCGTCCTATTGCAAAAGTCATGGTTCACAGATTGCTTGCAAAGCATCAAAGAGATCTCATTGTTGAAAGGTATCAGTCAGCAGAAGGGTACAAAAAAATTCCCACAGCATTAGATACCATAGAACACAGTGAAGACAGTCATCAAGAAGTGGAGAAAATATAGGACAACAGTGATGTTACATAGATCTGGACGTCCCTCCAAAATTGATGAAAAGACAAGACGAAAACTGGTCAGGGAGGCTGCTGAGAGGCCTACAGCAACACTGAAGGAGCTGCAGGAATTTCTGGCACGCACTGGTTGTGTACTACATGTGACAACAATCTCCTGTATTTTCCATATGTCTGGACTATGGCGTAGGGTCGCAAGACAGAAGCCTTTTCTTACTAAGAAAAACAACCAGGTCTGGCTAAATTTAGCAAAAAAATGCATCACGTCTCCCAAAAGCATGTGGGAAAATGTGTTATGCTGTGATGAAACCAAGGTTGAACTCCTTGGCTACAATTCCAAAAGGTATATTTTGCACAAAACAACACTGCGCATCACCAAAAGAACACCATCCCCACGGTGAAGGATGGGGGGCTGGGGGGCAGCATCATGCTTTGGGGTGTTTTTCTTCAGCTGGAACTGGGGCTTTAGTTAAGGTGGAAGGAATTATGAACTGTTCCAAATTCTAGTCAATTTTGGCCCAAAACCTTCAGGTGACGGTTACAAAGCTGAAGATGAAGAGGAATTTCACCTTTCAGCACCACGATGACCCCAAGCATACATTCAACAACAGAATGCCTTCACCAGAAGAAAATTAGTTTTGGAATGACCCAGCCAGAGCCCAGACCTGAATCCAATTGAAGATCTGTGGGGTGATCTGAAGAGGGCCGTGCACAACAGATTCCCTCACAATCTGACAGATTTGGAGCACTTCCGAAAGGAAGAGTGGGCAAATATTGCCAAGTGGCATGTTAATGAACTCCTATCCAAACAGACTGAATGCTGTAATTAAAACAAAAGGTGCTTCAACAAAGTGTTCTTTTAAGGGTATGCACATTTATGCAGCCAGCTTATTTTATGTTTTTCATTTTTTATATTTTCCCCCAACAAATTAGTTTTTTTTCAATTAAATTGTACGGGTTGTAGGTCACATTAAAGGTGGAGAAAGTATTTAAAGTTTTCATCATGGTCTCATTTATTTACATCAGAAAAATCTGAAATTTTAACTGGCATCTGTACACTTTTTATATGCACTGTAAACCATTGAGCATGTTGCTTCTACAGTCAAAGGCTGTTGTTTGTTGAAGTAATTGACACTGAAAATCAGGCATGACAGTCAACAAGGTCAACTGAGCTTGGTGTTTTATTTTAATGTAGAAAAACATCAACCACTAAGAACAATTAATAGTCCACTATCTGCCACTATCCAGGGTTGGGATGCGGGGGCAGCACTCTGATCAGAGATGAGCAGACCTTCCTCTCCCCAGCCACCTTCTCCATCTCTTCTGGGAGGACACCAAGGCATTCCCGGGCCAGCCAAGAGATATGATCTCTCTAGCGTCTCCTGTTGGCTGGACAGGCCTGAAGTACCTCCCCAGGAAGCCATCCAGGAAGCATCCTAGATAGATGCCTGAATTACCTCAGCTGGCTCCTTTCGATGTGACTCCTCTCGAATGTCTGAGCTCCTCACCCTATTTTTAAGGCTGAGCTCAGACGCCTTGCGAAGGAAGCTCACTTCAGCCTCTTGTGTCCACAGTCTGATTCATTTGGTCACTACCCAAAGCTCGTGACCATACGTGATGTTCGGAACATCAACATGTAGATCAAAAGCTTCACCTTCCAGATCAGCTCTCTGTTTACCATGACGGAATGGTACCACGTCCACATAACTGCTGACAAAACATCTATCGGCATGTCAGTCTCCCGTGCCCTTCCCTCACTTGTGAACAAAACTCTGAGATACTTAAACTCCTCCGCTTGAGGCAGTAACTCATCCCCAACCTGGACGAGAAAACCACCCTCTACCAGTTGAGAACCATGACTTCAGTCATGAATGCAGTTAGTAAAAATATCTAGTAGGCACAGGGAATTAACAGGGATTTTATCTCATTCCATTGCTAGCGTGTTTTTTTAAGTGACATAAATATGGATATTTTTTTCACCCTCTTCTATCCACTTAGCACAAGATCTAACAGATGCTCCTTTGGTTTTCTTGGCATACATATAATCTAATATGTTAGTAAGGGGCATCAATGTTTGTTTTTCATCAGCTGTGTGTGTGGGTTTGTTAAACATGTCATTTAACTGCTTTATAAGTTACAAATTCAGTTTCCCGGTGAGAATTTTACTGAATGATATGGAAAACTGCATGCGTATGGGAATTTCACAAATTCCCGTTTCTGCAAATATGAGTGAATGTCTTCCATCTCTTGAATCTCACGGATAAGGTGTCTAATGCTTGTACAGTATTAGTCACGTGTGAGTCGGTTTGAATTAAACTTCCAGTCCCCTTTAGTATTAAATTATTGCTCATGTGGTTTTAACCTCAGATGAATAATTGAGTGATCAACTAATGGGACCTGCAGACATATCCTCCTAGATACTAGTTCTAACATGAAGTCTGATGCTAACCAAAATTGCAATGTAGACCTATGAAGTGCATTCGATTGAAACCAAGATTACAATTCGATTACTAATTGTTTACTGTTAGAGTTATAGTGTCTCCAGGCATCTCGTGTAGCATTTATGTGACAAAATTCACTAAATCTATAGTTAGAGGTGTAAGTATGACACCTGGAAGAAGATCAGCCTAACCATTCATCATTCAGCATATTTAGGTCTCATCCTGTTTGTATATCATCACTGTGATAGGGCAATTTTTTCCATTTCATCCATCTTTCCATTTCATGTTTGATATCTTCTAGTGTGTCTCTATTCCTTTGTCTACTGTTGTACCCATAAACATTAATCAGAATACACCTTGAGGCATTAATATCTACTGTACCACGACAATAAGCCAATGTCCATTTTCATCTCCTTTGACATGCAGCGGTTTCTCAGGACAATTATTCAGTAAAATGGCGGCCCCTGCTGACCACTCTGTGCCATGACTAAAGAAAACCTCCCCCCCCCATTATTGAATCCAGAACTTTTCATCCTCG